TCCCCCTTGGCGCCTTCTTATCCATCGGTAAGTCCGGTGTTTTCGTCTCGTTCCGCAGTTTATTGTCGTCCCGCTTCGCCTTCGGCAAGCAGTGTTTAAAGAAATTATTAGACAGGCCTAACTATTTGACGTGCACAACACATACTAAGGAGCAGCTTTAAGGTCTCCACCCACGCCTTTGTAAACATGAAATTGTATTTGTGTTTTATGGCTTTTTACTCAACGCTATGAAGTAGATGTGTAGCTCAACCTCTTTACTCTGAATATAAGATTGAAGTGTATCGCCAACCAGCTGCTGCCGTGAAAGTATAAACAATAAATCTCGCCTTTAAAAGGTGAAGTAAAAAGTCTTCTTTTGACTTTTAAAAGTATTTTTATAAGTTACGTCTTTGGATGCAAGCAACATTACGCGGCGTACTGGGACCCGAACGGTTCCACCATAGAAAGATGGTCTGTGTTTTGAAGGTCGGTCTTACGCTACAGCCCCCCCTGAACACCACCATAAGAAGAACTTCCTATTGTTCTTGCTTTTACCCACTGAACAAATGGCCAACTTTCTCTGGCAGGACACATCCTTTCATATAATGAAAATGATCAATGTTAAATATGTGAAATACACATAGTTTCAATTGTGTGATACTACTTAGCAGCCATAAATCCCTGCTAACATCCACTTTAAAATATTTTGATCATTGATGGTTTGTCTTTGCATCAGTCATTGCTTGAAATGTTATTGTGTGTATATTCTAAATTCCGCCACCACCAAAGAGAAAAATCCTATTGTTTTTCCACCAACATGCGCCACAGCTTAACCTAATTGACAAAGCCACATATTTAACCACATACCTTCATACTTGATTTATGACTACATTGATGTGTTGCAGTTATTTAGGTGACTATACACAACTAAAAGAAATATCCAGTATTGTGCGCCATTCATTCCTGGGTAAAAAACACCTCAAAATATTGCGCTAATACAGTAACACAAGTAAAAACACCAGTTCATCCCTCTATTATATGTAACAATACACAATATAAATGAAACACATTATTTCCACCCCCATCACTCGTATATTAACGCTGTTCTTTCCCCAACCAAGGCCATGTCTTCTGTGCAGTAACCTCCGACTCTGCTAGAGACATGCTGATGACACAGATTGCGCACAGAGGAAATGATGAAAAAGCTCTTGAGAAGATCATACAGGCTACCCGATGAAGTGTAATCACACTCAAGCACCGAAACAGTCTGTTTAATAATTGTATTTCGAAGTCAAATGGTGCTGCAAACCGGGCCTTTCATTAGATGTATATAATGATATAAAAATTATAGGGAAACTGCTGTTTGGCATAGTTCTGTTGAGGTACGATTTCAGTAGTGGAAAATATCGAGATTAATTCACTTTTGTTAGTATTGAATTTTCAAGTGCCCCTCCTATAATTTAAAACCAAAACTCACAGTGTGCCCCCAGTGAGAGTTTAACTTTGTTGAGGAGCCCCTGGTACATGCAGTGATCATTGTGCAATCCTGTTTACATCTCCTCCTCAAGAAGGAGAGAATGAATCGGATAACACGAATAACTTAACCGTCTCACCCCAATGCCGACAACAACATCTCTCATAAAAAAGTTGGCTCTATTCAGGTTCCTTACAATATTCTCTCCATACCTGCCTTACTTATTTTACTCATCGTACGCTAACCATTGAATCTAATTCAATAACAACAGTTTGTTTCTATACATTTTTATATCATTATATATCATCTAAATGAAGGCCCGGCTTTGCAGCACCTTTGACCTTTACCGAAATACAATTATTAAACAGAGCTGTTCGAGTTGCTGCTGTGTGATTAACACATTCATACCGTAGCTTGTATTTGATCTTCCTCAACAAGCACCTCTTCCTCATCATCTTCCTCCTCATCGACTGCAGCATCTGTGTCCTCAGCAATGTCCTCAGCAGAGTCGGAGTCTGCAGAGACATGGCCTGCGTGGGGCAGAAGACACAGCGTTACATATACGAGTGATGGGTGAAATATGGCTGTATTCCATTTATATTGTGTTATTGTTACATCATACTACGGATGAACTGTGTTTTACTGCTGTTTAAAACTGTTAGCTGGCAATCTTTTGAGTGTTTTTCAAGGAATGAAATTGACGCACATTACTGATATCTTTCCTTTTTAGTGTGTATGCCAACAGTCAACCCTAAAATATCACTGCAACCCATCAATGTACGTCAATAACTCAGTATGAAGGTATGTGGTTAAAAATATTGATGGATTTCGTCAATATCAGCCCGCTCTAACTGTGCAGCTGTGTGAAAACAATAGGATTTTCTCTTTTGGTGGTGGCGGAATTAGAATATCACACAAAATACAACTTTCACAGCAAATGACTGATGCAAAAAGACAAACCCATCAATGAATAAAATATTTTAAAGTGATGTTTAAGCAGGATTTGGCTGCTAGTAGTATCCACAACAATTGAAAACTAGTGTGTATTACACATTTAACCATTGATGCATTTTCATTATTGAAAGGTGTGTCTGCAGAGAAAGTGGCCACTTTGTTTCCAGTGTAAAAGCAGAACAATAGGAGTCTCCCTTTGAGTGTGTGTCAGGGGGAACTGTAGCGTAAAGACAGACCTACAAACACACAAGAAACCATCTTATCTATGGTGACGTGTCCCAGTAGCCGCTAACTGTTGCTGCATCCACACAGACGTAACTTTGACTAAAAATCACCTTTTAAAAGCTCACAAAGAGACTTTTTACTTCACTTTTAAAGGCCGAGATTATTGTTTTATACTTTCACGGCAGCAGCTGGTAGGCGACTACCACTTTCATTCATTTCAGAGTAAAAGAGTTGAGCTACAACTCTCTTATAGCCGTGAGTAAAACAGCATAAAACCACAATACATTCATGTTAGCAAAGCGGTGGTGGAGACTTAAAGCTGCTCCTCTATAGCTATGTGACTGTGCCACGTCAATATGTTTAGGCTGTCTAATAACTTTCTTTAAACTGCTGCCGAAGCGAAGCGACGACATAAACCTGCGAAACGAAGACGAAAACACGACTTACCGATGGATAAGAGGCCGCAGGGGAAGGCCAGGAGGAACAGCAGCAGCAATTTTGATCCGAAATTGAACATTTTGTCAGAGCTGAAGGCTGAAGTTAGTAACACATCAGCGTTCAGGAGAGGAGAGGACAGCAGCAGAGCAGGGGGCGGGATCAGAGGGAGAGACCCGCCTGTCTGGAGGAGGTTTGTGAGGCTGTTTAAAACACATGGAGGAAGTTAACTGCAGGAAACTGGTGACAACTCGCTCACATTTTTGCTCTCAAACTTAAAAAATAAACCCGACAACATGCTTAGTCTTTATTAAATTATGATAAAAGTGGACAGTGGTGGAAGAAGTCTACAGATGCTTTTGTAAAAGTACTAATACGACCAGTGTTG